AAAAATAAAACGTTATTTACAATACTGAGCATCTGCTTTGTCTGAAATATTAATACAGCAGTTTTACCAGTAGGTTAATCCACTGCTGAACAGATCTGTGACCTGTTTTGAGATCTGTGACCTCAAAAATGACCTCAAATGAAAAAAAAAAATCTAATAATAGATACTCCTCGCTGCTATAAACAAGAACTGCTCTAAGCATGCTCTAACAGCAGCATTACAAACAGGAGTTCTACTAATTCACTTTAGGCAGCAGAAGCCGCTTGCCATTCTTTTGCTCCACTGTCAGGTAAGTACAAACGAGTTCTGAGTCACTTGCAAAAGCTCTCAGTCATTATGATAATCACCCATTTATTAAGAGAGGTTAGAAAAAAATCAGACAATGAAAGCTGAATCCTTTTTATGCTCTTCAACATGCAACACATAACTTCTTTCATTTACAGACTCCTTTCTGCAAAAGGAAACTGAACCATACCTATCTGTCAGTTATACTGCAGCGTGGTGCACGAAATACACCTACACTTTATCTTCTAATCATGCAAAGAAAGCCTGATAGCATAGAAAATTAATTAAAAAATCCATAAAAAATACAAAACTGTTTTCTATTCATTGCAAAAGCTTTAACGCAATTTCAGGTAAGAATTCAGCAATCATTTTATTTGGAGTATGATAGCATAGCTTTCTTGTATCTTATATCTGCACATTAAGAAAATACACATTAAACAAAATTTATTAGAAGCACAGATTCTAAATTCCATCCATACGTTCCCCATTCAATTGACTAGAAAATTCTTCATACTGACTAATGATCTCAAACTCCCTAAGGAAAACACCCTCATAGTTACTAAACTACAAAATTATCGTAGAAGAAAGAAAGCAATTTTCATAAAAAACTCTATTAGTACATAAAACTTAAATGAAAGCTAAGTAACGATGAGACTAAAATAAGCCACATCTTTTAAGTAATTTTCAAAGTTGTTTTTACTAAGTTTGAAGTCCATTTCCCTAAAAAACTAAAAACATTTTTAAAAGCCCAAAAGCACTGAAAGTATTTCCTCTTTAAGAAAGATTCTTCACTTTTTTTTCCTGAAAAACGCCTACATGTTACTGCACATTCACAGGCATTTCAAAGTGCATATTTAAGAGCAAATTTACATTTAGGCCTTCTATGTGAGCAGATCCTCTCCAAAGGAATACAGTTTTGAAATGTTAATTCCTACTCATGCAAGACAAAACCACTTTTTATTAAACACAGAGAATTAATACTCTCAGTTCCGAAGTCTTGTGTATAAAAGCTGCACATCTATCATATTTCATGCCTATTTTCCCCTTTTTCTCTCAGTGAGCCGAACTACAAAGGAACCCTCTGATCCTTGTTTAAGTTAAGAATGTCTTCCATTTTCATGGCATTCAAGACACAAAACAACATGACTTAGGAGAGAGATTAATACAAATATATATTTTAAAAAATCCCAAGCTACAAGGTTATTAGAAAAGCAAAAAAGGGATATTATAAATAAATAGACTTAGTAGACAAATACTGGCTGCAGATAAGGAAATACCTAGAAAACATACCATTTCAAAATCCTCTTTTCATCAAGGATGCCTACAAGATTATAGGAAGTACAAGGATGCTCCACTAAAAAGGGTTTGAAGGTAAAATAATCTGTAATCACAATAACATTTCTTTACTTGCTTTCAGGATGATATTGCCAGAAAATAACCTAATTTTCTTCTAGAAGTATTCATTCACATGTTAATGCCTCTCCCTCCTCCTCCTGCCACCTCCAAGTCAAGGAGGATTTCACAGGGCCTAAAAGAATTTAATCCTTTAAGCTTCAGGTTATTTCACACTGTGCCAATTAGTTATTTCACACTAAGTCAATTTGTAGCATAAACTGTGGAATCTGTAGTTCTTTTTCGTGAAAACCATGGGGGTTTTTATAGAAAATATTGGCTCTGCTTACAAGACTGGGAGTACAAATCCCTTTTCACTGATTGCTTCTGAAACCATAGTTTAGTAATCACTTGCTATTAATACATAAGTATACATGTAAACATGAAGAGAACAAGGGGAAGCACAATTCACTACAATTAAACGCAAACTACACAGTCCACACAGTTATAAAGCTATCGGCCAAAAGTTTGTGCAAATAAACAGCAAAGGAAAAGATTACTTTGTTGTAAGATAACCTACAAATGTGGATTTTTAGAAGCTTAAAAGATGGAAAGCTTGAGACATTTCTAACTTCTAGTATGGTGCATAACTGCGTATCAGAGAAACCTTCTCTCTTCACTATTGCTATATTACAAATTTCTTCCAGCAATGGCAGCAATTTTTATATCTCCTATGACAGACTCTTCTGTAACTTGCATACTGAAGACCACTTCTTTCAACCCATTCTCTCTCTGATCAAAGAACGACCACTGCCCACGAAGCAATACTCCGTAAATGGATAGACCTGGTGAAAGTATTTTTCCACTCACTATCTCCTGTTTTACACAGGAGGTTTACATACTTGTTTTCTGAATTTATCACTTAGTAGATCAACTTTCCAAAACTATGTTTTCAACTGTTCATGAGATAAAATTACTTAAATCTATGTTTCACAGTAAATATGCACGTCACAAAAAATCAGCAAACTAAAACCAGTTGTCACAGATTACATAAGAACAGAAACTACATAATACTACAAAGTTTTTTCTGAAAATCACAGGCTGTATAACTTCCTCTGCTTGAGGGCCCAACTCCTAAAAATATAGAAAAAGTGACTGCTGCCAGAAGATAAGGAATCAGCAATCTTTGTTTAACTTCTATGTAGATAGGAAAAAGAAAATTACTTTCTTCATAATGAGCCTTTGTCACAAAACCCCTTAAAATAAAGTGGAGAGCCTGAGAAAAGCCCACAAAGGAGTTTTCAAGGTTCTCTGCTGGGAGAGGCTTTCACCTTTGAATAAAAGCAGGTTACTGCAAAAACAAAGGAGTCTGTAACAAAGTTATTCAAAAATATTGATGATGCTCAGTAAGTCCCCAGCTCTATCTTCACATTTTCACCCTAAAGGTAACCTCATCTTCATGCAAAGAATCAGAGAGGTGACTCTCCCTTTCAGTACTTCAACAAGACGTCAGAGAAAAAGACAAAATTTGTTGCAACCAGCAAATAGGGTTAAGAAAATTAAATGGTATCTGAAGTAAAGCAGGATAACTGTGACTTCACTATGTTTCTACACTAAACACAGTTCCCAGTCTTATTCACTAAATAAATAAGTAAACATAGTTACACTCACCAAGACATTTTCCCAATAAATTCTCCTGTAAGGGTTCCTACCTCTGAGAAGCACTGCCTAACTTCTGCAGTCTGAACTAGAAATTACACCTTTATTCTTATCTCCACTACACAGCTCCTTTGCAATTTTAGATAGTTACACCTCTATATTCACAGATAGCTAATGTACCTAATTTGTGGGTTGTCATGCCCCATTACTTAAACACTTAAGATCTCAGCTTTCTACTCACCAGCTATTTCACAATGTTAGTGTACGGTATGCTGACAATTCATAACTACTTACAAAAAAACACCCATATTGTGATGACTTGCTCCAAACAGCAACCATAGAGACTCAAGATTTTGATTACCTATCTACAACTTTATTTTCCATCTAGGAAGAGAAATTGACAAGAAAAGTTGTGTTTTGACAAAAGTAATCTCTAAAAATTCCTGGTTGCAAAGCATTCATAGTACATCAGCAAAAAAAAAAGGTCTATATTAACTGAACACATTAGAAACTTGGTTTCACCAGATGTAGTCTTTAAAAGAGTAGCACGAAATTTTGAAATGTCAGAGCAGCAATGAGCTGCCATATGATCCCAAATTTTGAGGAAAAAGGTGAAAATAGGAATTAAAAAGTATTAAAATTCATCATAACATACACACATTCAAGGTAACAAAATCAAAGTGGTATGGGCATGTTCATTGTGTATTTCTTTTCAGAGACTTTTCATACCAAGTAGGATTTTATTCTAGCTTAAGCACAATCAAAATCACTGTCACAAATTCCAGGCTGCCTTTTCTAAAAAAGCCCCTGAACATACATGCAGAAACATGTAGAAATATGTAAAAGCCCCTGAACAAACATGTAGAAAACCACTGTTAGTAGTCCACTCATAAAATAAAATTCTACATTAGTAGAAAAATGGGAAAAATAGTTAATTACATTACCTACTCTAGGAATAATTTCAAGGAAAAGATATCAAAAGACTTCTTTTTCCTAAATTATAGCTGATTTAAAGAATCTGTACTCACTTTACTAGGGTAAGAAACTTCACATCTTCCTAACTGATTATATGCACTTTTGTGAAAGGCACAAAATTGTGTGAGAAGTTTTAGGTATCGCTCACCTATAAAAACAAAAGGTGACAATTGGATCATTCAGGCCACCACCATAAGAGTACTTCTGGGTATAAAAGCACCAACGGGAGCGAAATGAGAAATTTAAATATTAAACTGCACTTAAACTTCTCCTAGAGGTATTTAAGAGGTTTAAAACTAGTAAGCAGCATTATATACTGTATCAGTAGAAGTGAAGTAAAGTAAAACTGAATTTGAAGCTATTTAAGCTATCACATCAACTTTAATTCAAAATACATAATTAGTAGATCAGCAATTTGGAGATCTACAGTATTTTTTCAAAGAGTTGTACTGGGAATAGTCTTAGTTTAAGGTATACTTGTATGCAGACAAATGCTGTGATAGGTAGGATTTATTTAAAAGTCAGGACTTCATAGATACACTTTATTGAGTAGGAAAAAAGTTAGAATAATGGAATTTATAATTATTATTATTCACTATTATTTAATTCACTAACTCCTTGGGCTTTTTTTTTGCTTTAAGTAGTAAGGAACACTTTATTAAATAGATTTATACCTCTCAACCCAGAAAACTTCAGCCAAAAATTGATCCTGGATTCATCACAGTAAAATGCATTATACTGCTTTTTACCTCCAGATCCTAGCTGCTTGTAGAATCTGTATTCCAAATGTAGCTGTGGTGCTCTCGACTTCATTGGCTCCTGATTTAAAAACAAAAACAACATTTAAAACAAAGCCTAAAAACTAGTACACTAACCTACTACCAGCCAAACTAGTCCTACTACTTCCAAGCCACACAAAAAGTTTGAATGTTTCTTCTGAAATGACTGGCAATTAAGAAACAGAGAAAACTAAACCTCCTTCAGGTTAGAGTAGTGCATATATGGATATTTACATCTTGTATTGCTCCACAGGGCCAGAGTCCAACATGCAAATCAAGCAACAGACACATGATGGAATACCTAAAAAATAGTACGTTTCTCCAAAACATGTGGATAGTATGTCCTACATTTCTCAGAAAGTGGCATTAATACGCAGCTTAACAGATTGAAAAAAAAACTCCAAATATCTATTACTTGAGAGATGTATCTTTACAAGGAGCTTCTTTGGATCTTAATAAAAAATACCAAATCCTTCCACCAAATACTAACAGCTTAGCAGAAATCAAGTATCACCATTACAAACTATGAATCCAAAACAAGCAAAAAAAAAAAAAGCCCCAGAATAAGTCTGTATATATATGCAAACTAATATTTGCAAATTAATAAAATCTCATTATAGTGTTCAACATGCCAGTGCATCAGGGTCTCATAGAACTAAATGAAGTGGCATGAGATTAAGCAGAAGAATACACATGCAGCCTAAATGGAAACTCAAACTTTCTGATTATCTCCCTTTGCAAAGAAAAGGTTCTTTAGCACAAGATTCTTGAACTAATTTCCTAGAGCATCTTTTAGAAGATATGCCTTGTTTCTTATGATATGTAACATGACCTTAATATTAAGCTCCACCAGGGGATGTTTAGGTTGAACATTAGGAGGAATTTCTTCACAGAAAGGGTGCTTAGATATTGAATGGACTGGCCAGGGAGGTGTTAAATGTTCAAGAAAAGACTGGCCATGGCACTGAGTGACATTCTGACATGGTGGTCTTCAGTCAGAGGTCGTACTGAATGCTCTCTGAGGTCTATTCCAGCCTAATTGATTCTGTGATCTTTGAACACATCAGTGATAATTTGGAAATAATTCCGTAACTATTGGAACTGCAGCACACAGTAAGTAACTCTCAATATGGTTATCAGCACTAACTGATACTGCTGAACACCAATTTTCTGGAGAAGTTTGGGCAAAGTGCTCATCTTTTTCCTCACATCATCATATTAAAGCTACAAGTTTATAAACCTGTGTTGTCTCTCAGTATCACATTCAGGGCATAAAAACCATGACCCAATGTGCATGAATAAGAAATTCAGTCTTCTTCCTCAACCCATCTCCCTCCAAGACTTAGTTGTTTCCCAATGCTGCTGAACTCCCTGACAGTGTATATTTATGCATTTGATCTTGCCAGGATGATAAAGGTGGATGCCTGAAAGTAAAGAAGAACTAATGTAACAGTTTCTGCAAAAAACAAAGAATTTACGGTATCTTTTTTACACTCCAGAGCAACCAGCATAACTGAACACTGTATTTTTTGCAAAGATGTGAAAAGTGAGCAAGAATTACCTAAAAAAAGCAAGTGTTTATTATTCAGCAAATTAATTACTAAGCAAAACTAACTGGGCTATCAAAATGTGAAATCTGTTTCAAGTTCATTATGAATTCTTTCTACAATTATTTTTGTCCCAAATGCATGGAATAAAATACTATTCAATTTTCAAGTTACTTTCTGTTAAAGGGGCTTTGAAAAAGCAGTTTACTTGAACTATAAGGTTAAAAATGTTCAAGAAGTCTTGAAAGAGCCAAAGACCAATATAAACATTCAGCTATTACCTACTTTTCATGGTTTTAGTAATTCAGTGAGAACTCATCTCAGTTTACATTCTGCATCTGCTTTACACATTCATAAGCAATGGCAAACAAAGGCCATTTTCAGGAAAAAAAATTCCTTAAGAGGTAGGCTCTTGTTACAGGAAAAGATCAGTCTATTAAATAGACTTGCACTAGATTTGTATTTATTGCAAATATTTGTATTTACTGTATCTTAGAGGGATTCTAAAAAGGTGTGTCTCTAGACCACAGTTACTCCTTAAAAACAAAAAACAGAAAAAACATTACAACCTTGAAACAAAGTGCAACTTTCTTTCCACACACAACCCTCGTTTATAATAGATTTGAATTTTATCAATTAAAATCTTAAGAGTAGACTAGTGAGTCGGTGAAGGTTACAGTTTAAAAGACAGTGATGACTACTCTGTAACTTCCTATCTTTCATCCAAGGAAAAATTGATGTCTTTCCAGAAGCAGTTCCATGGAGGACTAAGCATAAGCACGTTTTGTCTCAAATATTCTGGCTGTTATGACAAGAAAAGTGTGAGTGAAACAAAGGGTCCATGGAGATAGAGGAGCAGTGTTCTGAGCCAGCTTCCTGCTCAGTCCCTCCTAACTGACCTCCCAGAGAACGGCTCAAAAGGTTGCCTGTGAATGTGCAAACACAACAGCAGGAAAAGTCTTGTTTACATAAGAGGCTGCACCAGGTTAAATGCAAAAGGAAGCACGTGGGCCCCCGTTATGACTTTTTCCATATCTTTCCCTTTCTTTATTTTGCTATCCCAGCACTGGACCATCCACGCAGCAGGACTGACTGCACGAATCTACAGACGGAGAACTTCTTCATTCTTCCTCTCTCTTTTCCACCTTAATTTCTCTCATCCCTTGCTTTGCCTGGGTTGTTAGCCAACACCTTTGGAGTCTAATAGTGGGGGTTCCAGAGTTATAACAACTGTACAATAAAGCACAAGAGCTCCACAGCTTGTGGTCTAGTGGCTTCGTTTAGACTTGTAAGAATTTACAACAAACATCACACTCCTACCAATGGCTTGTAACAATAAACTGGCATGACAGACATGACTCTTGTGAGGCTGAGAGGGACTGAACAGCTCTTGAGCTATTTTTAGCTGGGATGGGTTCAGATATCTCCATCTCCGACTGGGGTACAGGATGGATCAGAAACAGGGAGGAGCAGGACATGACAGCTCAGGAAATTCCAAGCATTGACCCCTTTCCTTTTATGGGAAAGTATGACCTACGCCCATCTTCATATGTGGAGTACTGTGTGTCATGCTGATGGAAACACAAAGAGATAAAAAGATTAATGACTCCTTACTAAAATGTCTAGATAGCAAAAATAGAGAGACATTTCTATAAAATTTGGTTGACTTCTTTACAAAAATGTTCATACAGAGAGCAAGATGAGACAGACTTTTTTTTACTAAAATATTTAGACGGCAAAATTTGGCTGCAAAACATTTGCAAAAGCATTTGAAAGTCTTGGTTGAGCTCTTAAAAAAACATCCAGAAGATTGGCTGACCACTTCCAGAGATGTCTGGATAGAGAGAAAAATGAAAGAACAAAGTTGCAATCTTTGCTGAATATAGAAGGAGACTTACTACACCTCGAGCTCTGCAAGGCTACAAAGCAGGAGAAAATACTGAGAGATGTGCTGGGTACCACAGTAGGGATGATAAGTTGGCCTTGGGAGTACAAGGACTTACAAGTGCTCAGATAAGGAACAAGTATGTGAAATGAAGAGGCAAGACTCGGCTATTTGATTTTCATAAACAGAGAGTGACGCACCCAAGTGAAGGATTCAAAAGTAGTGAGGGATAAGGATGAGGAGGAGAGAACCACACGAGTGTTGGGCATGGCAACAAAGGCAGCTGTGGAAGAGGCTGAAGCCAGAGAAGTGGCTATAGTAAAGACAGAAGTGCAGGCAGCAGTTGCTGTAGAGCAGAAAAAAGTTGCAGAAGAGGAGGCCAAGGGATACTGAGAATCTGAGGTTTGCATACAGATAAATGGTCCTTGAGAGTCCTGGTCCCTCATGCAGTGGGCTGCCTACTGGTCAAGGGGTTTAGGTTTCCCAGAGAAGGAGAGCAGGCCTCAGGAGAGGGAGCTGCTTGCTGCTGAGAGCAATCAGGAAAAGAGACTGAAGGCAGAAGGGCTGTTTGCTGTCAAACATGGTTATATTAGCAGGCTTTCAGCATAGCTTCAGCTTCATGTATATGAGAGAATCTTTCATGAGGAATTGCAGGATGTAGAATCTGGATTCTGCACCACTAATTAAAACTGAAACCAGAGATGATAGACAGGATCAGCAAACTGCTACAAAATAGTGCCATATACCAGAACCAAAATATCAAAGCAGGGTAACTTAAATGAGGAGAAGTAAGAAGCTGTACATACTCCCACCTCAAATATGGAGGTTCAGACTAATCCAAGTTTTTAGTTTAGGCACAGGCAAAAGCACAGAGTTTTAAAGCAGTGGTTCAGGTATTTACCCAAGCCCAATTCCACCCAGTGAGACAATGGCAACCACTTTACTGCTCCAGTGGTACAGGAATGGGCCACGGGAAACAGAATCAATTGTATCTTTCACAAAAGGAAGGACACAAAACAAATTAAATTAAGCAATTAAACTTACACTTAGCAAAATTAGCTTTAACAGATTTTTTCACTATTGGAGCAGAGACTTCAGAAGCCTTTCAGCAGTTACTTATGGATAACTCTCAATGCCCATGATAAAGAATACTGTGCTCACACCAGTTGACAGTATCCTCTTTTCAACCATTGGTTTAGAACAAGGCATTTTTCCATTTTCCTCTCCTACAAGAACTATGACAAAGCAATGAGTGATGTTAACATCAAGCATTTTGACTGCATATTGCTGTTGTTTTATAATATGTACCTAGCACTGTACCCAAGATGTTTCAGCAATGTGTCCATCCTGTTAAACAAGAACTACTGTAATAAGACTCCAACTCAACTTGGAAGCTAATACAAGAATTTGTAAGAATATGGAGGCCTCACAGCCAAGGGTTTTGCCTTGCCATGCCCTACTTCACTCAGGAAGAAATTAGGACTCTTTCTGTTGCCTCAAAGTTTGTCTGCTGTGATGCATAGTACTTGTAACACTTGCCCTGAAGAACTCCCCTGAAATACGGTTCATACTTGGTATTAGAACTTTGAATAGACATATTTGTACTTGCTAAAATTGTAATAGGACCAACATCCTCTACATTTTTCAGGTTAGTACCTGATGGCAGGAATTAGCTTGCCACAGAGCCACAAATAATTATCCTAAATCTTACTGACAATTATAAATGGAGAGCCCCTTTGGGGTTGGTTTGGAGGAGTTCAGATGAAAAATCTTATTCCTAACATTAGAATACCATGCTAGATGGAAATGAGGTGTCTGAATTTTTTCCCTGTGTCCTATCAATGTTCAATTTGACAACCTCTCGGAGATGGATGCACCATCATGTACCCATTATTGAACAAACATAACATGGGATGCTCAGCCTCACCAAAGAGGAGTACTCTGTCACCATCCACAATGCTACTTTATCTGAAGAGGCCTGAGCAAAGATGAAGGAAGCTGCTGACCAGATTGCTGAACAATTCCAAACACTGCAACCAAAGAACTTGTTCAATGAATCAAAACCAGATTTCTTTTGGTTTTAAATCATGGGGTGGGGAAAGTGTTTGACACAAATAGGAACTGTAATATTGGTGGGATTTCTGGTTTTAATGATGAGCATCATGTTTTGCAACTTTTTTGCAACTTTGATTAGCTGCACACTGTCTTCTGCTTCCTCCCTCTCCTAGCCCTGTGTCCAACGTATAGAGATCACCATAGTCAAAGATGAGCTGTATGCCCAACCAATAGTAAGGAATGTCTGAACCACTGGTTGGTGTGGAAGATCTTGCATAAGCATGGTCTGTCTCAAACATTCTGACTGTTTTGGTAGGAAAGCTGTGACTGGAAGACAGGGTCTTGCTGAGGTGAGGCAGCACAGTGCTGAGCCAGCTCCCTGCTCCACCTGGATGGAGATTTGTGCTCACTTCCCCGCCCTGCACTCATTCCTCATTCCCTGGAAGAGAGCTCCAAGGGCTGGCTATGCACTCCAGAACAAAAGAGCACAAAAAATCACATTCACATAAAAGGCTGCACCAGGTTATCGATGAAAGGAAGCAGACTGGGCTCCCCTGCTCTCTTTTTCTCCTCTTTCTATTTCACTGTGTCACAATTCCCAGCTCTGGACCAGCCACACAAGTGAGACCAAGGCATGATCTAAGGACTGATGATATTCTTTTGCTCTCTTCCTTTTCTGCTTTTATTTCTCTTCTCCCTCACTCTGTCTGGGCAAAGCACAGCTATCATTTTCTATTCCATACTCCGTACTGAAGTTTATTGTGGGAGTGGGGAGGTGCAGAAATGCTGTGGTTTGTGAGCCAGCACCTTTAAGTAGAGTGTTGAGGGAGTTGAGAGTTTATTAAAGTGTACCGTAAAAATCACAGGCCTGCTAGCCAGCATTTGTGAAAGCCTTCAAATGTAAGGGCTTGTTAGCCAACACCCTTTAAGTATAAATAGTGAGCTGGTTGCTGGACACAAGGCGGTCATACAAAAAAGCGCAAGAGCTCCCTAAAGCATGTCCAGTGTCTTTGTTGAATCCTGATGAGAATTTATAATGAACACCATGGGCCCTCCTGATGGGTCATGACATGCTCAAGCAGAAATTCCTTTAGCTAGTTTTTTGGTAGTGGTTAAGCATCTTCAGAGGAGGTAAGTTTGAGCAGCAGAGAAATATGTCAAAGGGAAAGGGAAAAATAATGAAGGTGAAGAAAAAGCTGAAGAGTGAATAGGAGGTTTAAGTCAAGTACAGGGTCATGCAATAAAAGTAGTAAATCTAACAATAAGAAGAGGTGAGCAGGAAAGGTAGAGCTTTTACACACCAAACAGCTATTGCTAAAGAACCACCTGATCACATGAAATCAGTCTGTATACTAGAAGATGAGCAGAAACATACTAAGACCACTACACAGCACTGAAAGCCTAGATCTCAAGAGTTTCATTATAGTTCTTTAAAAAGTCTATTCTGACCTCTCAAACTGAAGTATGTGCCCAACCAGAACAGGCAATAATGAATTAAGACAGATGAAGAGGAAGATTCTGGAACTGCAGCTGTTCTACCAAATTAAATATGCATTTACGTATAAACATTATACTTTAAAATACATATAGCTGTACAACCCTCGGACCTCACACAGAAAAACTGTTTAAGCTACTTTTTACACAAGTCCTGAAGCTGCCCTAAGCGCCATAACAAGAAAATGCTCGTATAATTTTGTCCACAAGGGAAATACTAATTCAAAACCATTTAAAAGTTTGAGTCAAAAGAGCACTTGTACAATTCACTTATTTTTAACAATACAGCACTCCTGAAAGCTGCTGTATAAACAGAGCCGTTTATTGCACTTGAGAGAAACCCACACAGTCCTTCTGCACTAGAATATATGCTTACCATTGATACACAAAACATCTGTCATAGGAGATGTCCTGCTGCACCTAAGACAACAGTAGGTCAAAACTGGCATGCTACCATGAGGAATGCAAATACAATTTTAGGATACTGCAGCAGAGATTACAACAACCACACCTGCCAAGGGTAACTGCTTAGACTGCAACATAAACTTAATTCAAGTAACCCCATTCAGGAAGGCTAAACTTGAACTACAACAGGTGCAAAACAGAGAGGAAGTTAAGAGTGCCTCATTTACAATAACAAAACAAGGGTTAAGCATAGGAAAATGACTGCTCTGAAAGCACAGAAGTACAAGCGCCAGAGTAAACAAAAGCTTACATTTAAAAAGGAAAAGGATTATCTGCCACTGTATCTATAACTGTTAGAAAAAAGTCCTGGCACTGTCTCAAATAGGAGAAGAACAGGAAATGTAAGAGGAAAAATTGAAAAGTCCACTATATACACTCAAGAGTTCTTTCAGCACTAGTAGTACATTACATATATAATTAACTGTATTGGTTCTTAAGTGACTTCAAACTAAGTTACTCAATAAAGTTGCTCCAAGCTTTTTACTCATCTGGGAACAAGCAGCTCTAACACTGAGATATTTGGAAATCAAAAAAGTAAATGTTGCCAACAACAAGTATCACCTGTGACAGCTGAAATGGGTTGAAATGGCAGCCAAGCTTACTAAGCTGTATATGTCATAAGAAACCTTTTCTCAAAACCAATCAGATAAAAAAGTTGTCTTGCTCTACATTATCAAGTAATTAGTGCTTAAAAAACCTGACTACTTTGCAATATATTTCTAAATGTGCTTTGGAGTAGACAGCCTTTAAGTAGAAGAATTCTCAGACTATTTTCAGCTTTCACCAGACATACAGAGTAAGTTCAAGATATGTTGAAACAAAATGAGTATAAATTTGATTCAACACATAATAACCCTCAAAACTGTATTCAATGTTGCTCTCTCAAGCCATAATTTGCATGTTTTAAAAACTTCTACTACTCCCAAAGTATTTCCCAAAGCAAGAAGAGTAATACCAGTATTTTTCAGGAGTTTATTATGTTTGTAATGCTTTTCAGATTTCTTATCTAAAGCCATGCATTTTGGCTCCCACGGTTTACCTTTCACTTTACGAAACCATACTATGCTACATAAAAAGTTCTTTGCTACTGCAGCAGCAAGAAACCAACCAGAGTCCTAAAAGTCCTTCAATGATAAGAGGTAACCAAGTGAATTTCATCATTAAATACTTCAGTTATGAACACGGTCATTTACCAAGAAGTTAAAAAAATCCAGAAGCAAAATATGGTGTTACCAAAGGAGTTCCAATGATTGAGAAAAAGCCAAACAATGACGTATTAACACAATAGCCAAAAGTATAATGTTTGCAAAAGAAGTAAACATATTACACAGCATTGCAAATAAAACATGTCTAACAAAGTGATGTGTAAATACCAGCAGTTCTAGATGAAAATACTGGGGGGCAGGAGTGTGGACATTGAAACACATGCAGCCTCAAGAATTCTGGAGTTTCTCTATAGTCACCTGATGTTAAGATTCACAGTAAACTTGTTGCTCCTCTACTTGTTGGACAACAAAGGAGGCTACTAAGATAACTGCCGTAGAACACATCCTTGAAGCAGCATTAAACCATCACTGATTTTGCAAACACAGATTTAGCCTTGAAAACAGTGGCAGCAATTAAAAACTACTTTTACTCGATATGGCCAAACTACACAATTACATCTATCACTAACTGCTTTTATCTAATTCAATGAAATCATACAAAACTATTAAAGGCTCCAATTAAAAAAATCAACCCATTAACATCTGAAAGGAAGAATCTGATTAGTTTCTCATCCCAAAACCTTTAAAAAAAATATTAACTTACCAGCTTAATTGCCACATAGTCATTTGTGTACAAATTTTTTCCTTGAAAAAAGAATAAAAAACAAATGTGAGACACTGGCTTTTCTGTTCATGTAAAGGCCATTTAAATATCAAGAAAGTCTTCAAACTATCTTTCATCTAAGGTGCTAGCAAAGTGGCAGTGACTTAGGAAATGTGGGTTTATTAATCCAATACCTTAATTTAAAAAGATTTTTTCCTTGAATACTGTAAGAGGTGGAAATTTCACAGAGTTGCAGATATTGTACCAAGTTTGTGATTTTTTTGTACTGAAAAAGCGTGAAAATTGGTAAATCACAATAACTAGAATGTGCGATTTTCAAAATTATTGCTGAAAATTATTTTAAATTTATTTTTTAATTACCATGCAATTTTGAAACACCAGCCACTAATTAAAACTAGAATTAACTACTTAATTAATTGAGGACTGTTTTATTCCTTAATTATGTATTTTACTAAGCTAAAACTTAGGACAGGACAACAACATTCCTGACCATTTCCTAAATGGCATTACACCATTTAGGAAATATATCTGCTGCTTTAAAGGGGATTCTACAACTGGGTAAGATCTTTCCAATAAGCTTCACTTCAAACCGTATGCAATGACTAAAGTTAAGCAAGTTTTATAGGTGTAAAATTAAAAAACAGCAGATAAAGGATAGATTAAGTAGTCACTTTCAACATTTGTTATTTCTTTACAATTTTCAAATGCAGTTAATGTATATTATTCTTAATGATAATTCTCCTTTTTTCTCTGTAGTATTACTCAGGTCTGAATTTCCTATGTTTATTTCAGTTTGTTAAAGAAATCATATGGGGAAAAGATGAGGACCAAGTCTAAAAAGTTCCCTGTGAAGAAAGTTACACAGAATCACAGAATATTCTGATTTGGAAGGGACCTACAAGGACACTGAGTCCAACTCTTAAGAAAATGCCCCACAGAGGGACTGAAACCACAACCATGCTTTGACCAAGTGAGTTACACCAATAGTCAAATACTAGGAAGTGCTGATGAGTCTTTTAAAAAATAGAGTACATCTGTAAAGCTGAAACAAGATGCATTAAAAGCTTACATCTCTTAGCAGATCAAACTTCACAAAAAAAACCCCAAAAACAAATAACCTGAGGGCTTCACAACAACAAACACATAATTAATATGATCAGTAGGCTATAAAGGGGGTTACAGTCCCCTATGTAGGGACTACAGTGGATATCCAGGCATCCTAACTATTTCTTACTGGATGACCATATCAGTTACATTTTTGGTAACAAATGTACTTTGCAGTTGTTTCTGTGTCTCTGCATGGTATTAGAATCTATAAGAAGCAGTAGTCCTGCTCATCCATCTCTTAGCTATGTACATCACCTACTCTGAGTAAGTAAGAAACCCAGTTACATTTAAGGAACTGGATACTGAGTTCCAAAAGTTGTAATGACATGCTCATTCTGAAGTAGCACCAGCAGGGACATGAAGTTTCAGGTGATCAGTCAGGACAATCCTCTCTTTAAAATACAGCAGACACACATATGTAAAACATCACTGCTGATCTATCCATAAACACACAACAAGTATTGAGTAATGTGTCTCTTTCAACAGCAACAAGTTCTCTCCTTACTACCTTATCAGCTTATTTTAACTGTATCAGTTTAATTTAACTCTAACAGAGAGTCTGAAAATTAACAGCTCAATATCCAAAGCAATTTAGTCCTCTGCAAGCTAATGACTGAAGACCACAAAGAGTAATCTGCTACAGAAAGCCAATTTCCCATTTGATCCACAAGCCACTACTGAAGCATGACCTCCAATTTCTTCTCAGATGGAAGAACAACAGCTCCCAACACATAACTGAATTTTTGTCTTCTGCGCACCAATTCATCACTCTACAACTCCAATCCTCCTTTAAGTTCCTCAGGTCTAACCTTAGGACATATGCTCAAAATATATTCCATTTGTAGACGTACATATAAAAAAACTAAGCACTTGAGTACACCTTTGTAGAAAGGGTGCATAGTAAGTACTTGATACTGTAGCAAAGCAAATGAAAAAATAAAAAAATTAAATCAGATTCTACAATAGCAATGTTAACTCTTGCTTTCAGTAACTTACATTTAAAACATCTTCCTCACAAAAACCAAAAAATAGGGATTTGAAATATCTAGAATATAAACAAAACCCACAGACATTAAAATCAGAAAGGCTGCACTCATTCTGGTGACGGTTGCAGGACAGTACAATGACCCATAATCTCCCTCCAATTCCTTTTACTTACTTGCTTTACTTTATTTCAGTACTATCAAACTGTAAGTCTTAACTAATTTAATATTGTATTTAAAATAAAATACATTGTTTCACTGTAACAACTGCAAGTAAGTTAATCAGATATTAATCCTTAATCAGCTCTGTACTTTGTGACCAAAAAAAAAGACGGACAAAAAATTACCTTTACTAGTTCGCAGTTGCCTTTATGTAGAATTAATTTTGCTGGTTTGAACCTTCTGAGAGGTTTGAAACAAAATTTAAGATTTGAAGGCACTATGCAAAAGTTTAGCAAGTGAGGAAGAGCAATTTTTCAGCTTGATTTGTGGACTGCAAAGTCATGTATGCAACACTGTAAATGTCAAAATGTATCAATTTTGTGTAACTATTAATAGTAGTAACAAGAGTACCTATTAATGAGACTGCAAAATTCAGTGTCCTAAGTCAGAACTGCAGCAATATTTTCTTAAATTCCTCTACAGTATTAATTTGCCAAGCTTGTTTACATCCTGACAGCTCCCAGAACACACTATATTAAAAACATATTGTTTTACGCAAACACTGTATCACAAATATTGTCTGACGGGCAATGAGTATTACTTCTACCACAGGCACTGATCAACAGAAACACCACCTATATGGCCCACCAATGCCTCACTGTGAAACCCACCTCTATTAAATGCATGAAGCACTTTAACTCAAGCCTGCTAACAATACTAGAGTAAATTCTTGCCATTAAGTGTCAAACTGTATTTATTAAAACATAGTTGAACTTACATATCTTGAAAACCCTAACTAATCATGCTGTCCCATCTTGGAAAAACAAGTTCCCAAATCTAAACACGTAGTTTTCCAAAAGAACACACCCATCATGTCTATTAATAAATGCTAGCATTTCCAGCTTTGTTGTTTAAATTCTGCAAAACTCTATAGGTCCTTTTCAGTCTGCCTTCTCCACCATCTGATTTTCAGCCATCTGTTCAGAAGAGAAGTAGAGTGACTGAGTTATCCCAAATTTTCTCTACAGATGGATTCTCACTGTCCTGTTCAACAGCAGCTCAAATGTTTAACATCACTACATTAAAAAAGAAACCAAGGAATTTCCTTGTTCACCAGTATTAAAAAGTCTGCAGTACCTGGTTACAGCATCTCCAAGAGATTGGCCAGACCTACAAGATGGGGATGTGTCTCATACGTTTAGCCCTAAATATACCTCAATAAAGTGCTTCAGGAAGTCAGAAAAGACTGCTACAATAAGCATCATATAACTTCCACATCTTGGAAGAGAAAAGTGACTGAATTTAGGAGAGCACTGCACATAGCTAGAAAACATTTTACTCACAGGAAGTATCCTGCTACACAGATTCTTCAAGTCATCAAGCTTGCACCGGCTGAGGTAAAACCACAAAAGATGGGCTGAATATACCTTGCACATCTGAAGCTTTAAGGCAGTTTGAAGAGCTGCACGGTATTCATAGAGAAATTTTCTTGCCTAGACTGCATAAAAATGGCCTTGAACAATGTAAACTGAAATAAATAAACAAGGATCTTACCTAACCGTAGTTCTCCAAAATTACCACATCCAATTTTTTTACCAACTCTGAAGTTAGGGCCAACCATTAACACTCCAGAATTTGAAGAACCACTTCCACGTGGATTATGGCCTGATCTCCCACTAGGCCGTGCCATTCTTTCATCTGGTTTGTCTTTGTCTTTCTTTTTATTTTCCATGTCAAATTTACGGTACTCCACTTTGATTTATTCCTCTTTTTAAAAATCAGTATAAGCAAATTCCAATTGGACAAGGTGAGAATGAAAACATCATGAGTGAAATGCCCAGCTGGTTACTGTGGGTGAGCAGTCAACAGCAGCATGTTCATTCTGTTTGCAAAGCCTCGGTGGTATTTGTAGTAAAACGTATTTCCAGAAGGTACAACACCAGCGATATTTCCTAGTCTTTAGAGGAATTCTGTTAAAAGAAAAACAAAGTTATTCAACACAGTAAGATTCTTGTACAAAATTACCTTTCCCTTCAACTAGACACACAATTAAGCTTTAACTAACTATACTTGCTTTACAGATCTATGAAAAGCACTACTTAAGGGTTAATTCTATTTCTAATATGTAACAGCAAGTGTTATTGTAGTGACTGAAGTGTACTAAAATTTCAACATTTCAAGCAATAGTTATTTTTTAAAAAGCAACAAAAACACCCTATAAAACTTCTTCCTGAATAAACACACTTAAAATTGATGCTTGGACACACTCACTTCACCTTATGTCAGTTCAAATGAAAGCATTTTATTTGTTTCCCTGAAATAGTATCTGCTGTTTTAAGCAAATGCTCAAACTGCACAGTTATTGAAGTAATAGAAATATCTTGTATTTTCTGAACTGTAATTTCTGAAATGCTCAATTTATAAACTCATGGCAAGGACACTCAAGTTCTTTCAGTAACTCCTAGAATCTGAAACTAAACTATATTTACTTATTCTCCCCTACTATACTTCTGTCATAAATCTGTTTCCCTGCTCCCCTTCTCCCTTGTTTAGCATCATTGCCTAGACACGAATTCCCACATGGATTTCAGCAAAAACAATGCTATCTTACTACTGCAATAAAGAATCACAAGAAGGCTTTTGTTTTTAAATCTCAGCTATAAGAACAATGGATATTGTTTTCTATTTGATGACAGTGGCGTAAAACCCCATAATTCAGAAGTTTCTACACCGGCAAAATTCCACAATGAGTTAAATGTCTGTGCAAAATTCTTTTCCTACATTTGTTTCAATGTTGGGAATACACTGAAGTAATGGAGAACATCCTCTGGAAAAATGTACTTCATGTGCTACAGCCTATTTTAAAGGCAGTCACCAGGAGCTTATTTTTAATACTTTGAGCTGAAGACACTTTTATTTTGTAAACCAATTTCTCACAAAGTAAAATTATTACTCATATCACAGCTTACCACAAAATTTCAAAAATCAAAGAGGTAGTTGTGAAAAATACACCAAATAATATGAACAGTCACCTGAACAGTTGCATCTGCTAAATCACACATAGTTATAGCATGGTTATAACTACATGTCATTTAAAAATCATTAATCAACAGCTGACTAACATATTACCCGAACAAGGAAGTACATGGAAATTTGTTTGGCAAAGAAATATGACCACAATACTGTGAAAGGGGGAATGAAAGGCTTGTTCTGAGAACAATCAAAAAACTCAAATGCAGATTACAATCCAAGATGACTTGCTTAACGCCAGGAAAAAGGACTTCAGCAGTGAGTAATGAAACTTGTGGTTTTTTATGGTACAGACAGAAGCGTTTAAGAGAAAAGGGGACATCCAACATAATCTTGCACGCTTTCAGATACACTAAAGTCACCTTCTAAACCACAGATCTCAAAGGAACTGACTCGATGGGAAGCAATAGGTAATTTTCCCTCATCCACTATGCTACAAAGGCATAGCAGAAGGAAAGGAAGAAATAAGGAAGCTAGACATTAAGTGTGTGGAAGTAGAACTTCAAAGTCACCATTCAGTTCTTAGAATGCAGGTCAGCATGTTTGATGCAAAAGAATGCAACTAGACGTTTTAGGTACCAAAGAAAAGAAGAATTCCCTATTTTACTAGCTTTTTCAGGAAGAACCAACAATAAACAACCCTAGAATTTTTAGTGTACCAAATACATGACAAACAACATCAATTTTGATTTCCAGAAATGTGTCTATTATATGGACAAATCCATTACACAGTAACTTATGTGTAATAGATTTCCTCCTTTCCTCCTGTTGAACCAACAGATACTCCACTTACATTACAAGCAAGCTTTCTTATATAAACTGAAATTAGTACCTTTTTATAAGATATTTGCTAAATAACCAACACAAGTCCCTCACATTTTCCCCCCACTACATATCTAAAGGAAGACATGGAAGTATTCCTTGTCACAGTTTCTCCAGGACACAGGTGTTCTCTTACATTTTCCTAATAAAATAATCTGCAACTAACTCAAAACAAGGACAGTGCTTATGACTTTCTCCATTTTGAAGTTCCTGTGCAATATTTTATGATGTATTTACCTTAAAAATACAAAACTTTTTCATGGTTGTATTTATTTCTATTGTACTTACCTATGACAGTGTTATAATGTTGATGCCTGTATCTTCTCTTCACCATAATGCTCACATTCTAAAGAAAAAGCACCAAAAGGCAAAGAGATATATTTATATAGTATTTGCAATTACTTATCATGTAAAAAATTCTGATACAGAATGAAAGTACAGGGTTTTTTTTACTATTAAGGAAGATGCAGCAGATTTGCCTCAAAGACTCAACGTCATTTACATTAGGGAATATTGTTAGGATTTAAATAATTGTTCTTAGTTCAAAAAGATACAGGACTAAATATCAGGACAATGGCAAACACCATCAAAGCCAAGTTGACAAAGCAATATCAAAGGAGTGAAATTACTATGTTCAAGTGTGAAGAGAAAGGCAAAAGAAGCTATAAAAAAGTCAAAATGGTATTACATAGAAGAAAAAGTAATTAGATCTCAATTATAAATTAAATCTCAAATCTATATTGACTGAGACAAAAAATAAAACAAGACTGGAAGAAAGCAAGTAACTTCAGAGTAACTGAAATGCACAACTAACAACAGCTAGCAGGGATTTCTTTTTTTTTGTGTGTAATCTGATAGATTTTTCCAAGCCCTGTAGAGAGACTGCATGAAAAGTAAGGAAAGGCACAGTAAAGAAAAATGACAACAGGGTTCCAATTGACTCACAACTCACACACCTAACACTTCCAGAAGTATCCCTAGATTAGAGCTATAAATCTACACATCTCTCTAAAACTCTTCTTGAAAATGTCCCAATTAACACTACTGAAGAGTATATGCAACATAAGACCCCTATTCTGTAGCAACAATGACTCTCTAGGACACTACATAAGGCAGAATAAAAGAACAGCTCATTTAAGCATCTTCTTTATTCATACATTTCTCAAATGCCTGTTCCTGCAGCAACAGCAGGAACACCACTGTAATTATATGCAAGCTTACATGTTCCAAAGTGTTGTCATGACAATGCTCATACGCAAGTGTGCAAGTCACCTTTAAAAAAATCCAACTTACTATCTACCTCATTCCTTTTTCATGTTCCAGATTTACTCCTAAACAAACTAACTAAGAGAACATTCAAGTAGCTAAATAGGACATTGCACTGCCCAGGAATGACAAACTTAAACGAAACATGCAACCATAACTGCTCCCTTGGGTAACATAAGCAGTACCCTTCATTGTAATTACAAGATCATGCATCACTGATAGTATCAATATACTAACATTTTGCTCTACTTTTAAGAAAAGCATATAGCAGCAAAAGAGCTACAGAGGAAAATAAAAATTTGATAGAGCTTTAAATTACATTGGAAGAAGCAAAAGGACATAAACAGGTTTGACAGTGATAAGCAATGGGATGGTATGCCAAAACTCAAGGAACTGAGTGCTGGTGAGATCCTAAAACTGGTCCAGGAGGTGTCAGCTACAACGGACCACACCCAAAATGTTTCCACACCAACACACACAGCATGAGGATCATCACTGGAATAAGTGAAACCTGGTGAGATGAACCCCTTGATTAGAGTGCCATGTTGGATGGTCACAAGCTCTCCAGGAGGGACAGGCAGGACAGGTGAGCTGGAAGGGCTGGAATACGGCCCAGCCAGTGATCCCAGGCTGACAAGTCTCTGAGTAAGGATTAAGGGACAAAAGAATAATGCGGATGCCATTGTAGGAGTCTACTATAGGCCACCTATCCAGGACAATGATTCCAGAAAATTACTCTGAGGAACTAAGGGACACCTTCAAAACAGCTGCCCTTGTCACACAGCTCCACAAATAGGTCCAGAACAGTCCGAAATCTGGGTAGTCTTACAATACTAATTGAGCCAGCTACAAAAGGTGCCCTCCTTGATGTGTTGGGGAAGATTGCATGAACGAAGTCATGACTTGGCCACAGTGAAACCTTGGCCACAGTGACCACAAAGCAATTGAGTTTAAAATCACCATTATCAGGAGAAAAAGTGACAGCAAAATTTCAGTCCTGGGCATGACAAGAGCTGACTTCAAGCTTTTAAAAGAATCAGTAAGATGGCCTGAGGGAATGGTTTTGAGGGTGCTGGGGCCCATCAGATCTGGTCATTTTTTAGGTCCCAGGGGCACAGGAACAGGAAGTTTCAAAATGTCCTAAGTCAAGCAGAAGAGGGAGAAGGCCAGCTTGGTTGAGCAGGAATCTTTTCTCAGAAAAAAGGCAAAAAGTGAGCTGTATGCCCAGTGGAAGGAAGGCCTGATGAAGGGAAGAACTACAGAGATGTAGCTGTAGCCAGTGACAGAACCTGAGGGAACGGCATGAAGTTGTGTCAGGGGAGATTTAGGTTGGATATTAGGAAAAGTTCTTCACCCAGAGGGTGACTGGGCACTGGAGCAGCTCCCCAGGTAAGTGGGCACAGCACCAGCCTGACAGAGCTCAAGAAGTGTTTGGTCAACGCTCTCAGGCACATGGGGTGACTCTGGGGGTGTCCTGTGCAGGACCAGGAGTTGGACTTCAATGATTTTTCTGGGCCCATTCTAACATGGGATATTTTATTCTTTTATGAAAGACTGTAAAGAAACAGTCCTGGTTTCAGCATGAGGCATTTAAAATTCACTCAGCCTTCTGGCATTTTCATACTTCTGCAGTTTCTCACCTCTCAAGTATCTGTTCACATACTTCTAACCCCAAGGGCTCATGATTTTTGGCAGTTACAGTAATTTAGCAACACAGCTTCTTCTCACATCTTCTACAAGAGTGAAGAGAAAGTTACTAGTGCCTCTGCCACAAATTTCCAAGATACTTTCTCTAACTATATGTAATTTTTGTTGAATACTTCACCTACTACAGTCTTCAACTGAGATGAAGAACAGTCACATTCACTTTCCAAAGATCATTTCCATGTTACAAATACATCTGTACTGCAGAAAAAATAACACAAGATTCCATCCAACAAAACTCTTTTAGAAATATTTAAGAGCAGAAAATCTGAAATTCATACTACAAATCTGAAACCAAGCAAGAATTTCACTGGGATATCATAATAAAAAACTCAAACATCTAATCAACTGTTTCTGCTATTTTTGTATGCATCATGGAAAAATTAAGCTGTTCTTTCTAGATTAGTTATTACTGCATTATTTACATTCATTTTTATATACACGTCTCTATGCAACAGAGGAAATCTACAAAATTCCAAATCCAGAGCAAACAGGATCCTAATTGAAGATCCCTTGAAAGTTTAGGACAGCAGTTTCTAACTGTGAAAAAGTTTTCAAACAGAATTTGAATTGGAAAATATCTCTGAGGTTATATATTATTTAGTTAGATCCACTGTTTTATTTAAAATGAAAAATAAACATTTAATGACAGAAGAGTGGATTTCATTATTTTCACTTTAGTCCAACAAAAGCAATGTAGGCTTGGACATGACTTTAACATGACTTTAACATGACCAATAGTTGAGCTGCTATTCCAATAATTTATATTACAAATAAATAGGTCTATAGCTTTATTTTTTGTATAATATTTTTCAAGTAAAAACTAAAATAAAAAGTTGTTTAATGATTCATTGCATGACTCAAATAAATGTAACCAAATTATTACTTCATCATTTTTCAGATTTCCAAAGCAGAAATAATATGCTAAATCATTACACTTCACTGAAAACTAAAAACAAAATTAGTGTGCTGAAATATTCAGTACGTAAAACTTCCACAGATGGTACATACTCATGATGTCAGCTTTGAAAAACAAAGAACATTTTCAAACAAATTTCTGCTGACACAATTTATCTCTCCAGTTATCAGTAACCTGTATCAAAATCGCTCATCACTGAATCATTTTGGAAGTCGTAGATGGTGTTCTTCATATGTGACCTGACCACAATGAAAACTTATTAATCAATAACACATTTTGCTCTAAACAATATAATCTACTTCATACACTTGGGGAATTCTAAGACTAATGGCATCTGATTTTACAGTTTTTTAAATTTTTTTTCACATAAAAACAAAATACAGCTTGGTATTATCTGCTTCTCATATTTTCAGAAGTTAGTTGTTTCATCAAAGACTATTTTATTCTCCCATTCCTTAGGTACTTATTCTAACTTCAATTAGTTAAACAATTACCTTGAAAGCACTGTAAAAAGAATATGCAAATTCTCTAAACAACATCTTCTTCCTTCCCCCCCAAAAAACCCCTGTATTTTGTAGTAGACATGAACTAATCCAAGATCAAAGAATGGTCTTTTCCAGCTTCAGATGGGAAGACTGCTGTCTCCACATAATAAAATAAGAAACATACAAGAAGTGGCAATGCAGCTAAATAAGATCTTCAGCAGGATCAACTTTCAAGCCATCAAAAACCACAGCCACATCACTTCTCTGCCAGTTTGCCTTTCCAAATACTTAACTACAGAACCCACATTTGCTACATTTCCTTCACAGAGAAAAAGTACATGATACACTAGTAAGTTCGAAATCCTTCCTAGAGTTTCATCAGCAAAGAAGGAAAACACACAAAGCAATTGCTACCTCTTGATCACATAAAATTTTTCACACTTCAGAAGACATGGGTGTTTATTTAAGAAAAAAATATAATAACCTTATTTCAAAGGCAAATGAAATCTCTTTATAACAGATCATGCAGGAGCTCAACTCTGCAGTTTATTTCTCAGTGTGCATGGCCTCAAAACACTTATTTTGGTTCATGCTCTTCATCACTGCAAAGCAACTAACAGATCACAAGTGCGCATAAATTTTGTTTGCATTACCAGAACTTCCAACAATACGATGTTTGTACCTTCTACACTATTTCTTTCTTACTTAAAAGTCTCGGTTTTCCACAGATTATTATTTTCACTTTCTGAAACTCAGACAACAGTACTGTTCTCGCAGTATTCAGTCTTTTGCCACATCTGCCTTCTGTAATATCAACCAATTCTAGACTCAGCTAAATTTTGCAAAAGCAAGAATGGAATTTATTCATTTTGGTGTACAAACTAGACTCTCAGCATTCCTAAAAAATACAGTTGTTTTAAAATAGGTATTTGCTTACTCTTACAGATATATATGATTTTCCTCATAAAACAAGG